ATTCAATTTGGTCCTACTATAGGTTCACTCAGCATTGGGGGATACTGACCTGTAAGGAAGACAAAAACGTGTCTCGCCTTTCTCAACCTCTTCTTTGAACTGCTGCACACAGTCCAAGAAAGACACCATTGCATGATCAAACTTGTTGTCCCTGAAAAAACGCAACCCCCCAGAACAGTATAACGGCAGCTCCTTAGATTTGTCTGTCAGAGACTCCAGATATGAATGATTTCCATAGGGAACAAGTCGATACCTCTGGAATTTCAGACCCATCTTATTGGCCAGGGCATGGAGCAGCAACATTGTCTGGCCCCAAGCAGCATTAATCTCATTCCATTCCACAGGGACACTGGGAAGGCGACCCAGTCTGGAGTTATTGATTGTGCCAAATTGTCCACTGTGTCATATGTGGAAGGTCGCATTAAAGACTTTGGTTTTCTTCGGCTTGTTCAGCTGCATCTCTGCATAACGCATCTGGTTTTCTACACTCTTCAGCTCATCATCCAGCTCCAGCTGTTTTCGTTTAAATTCACTGTATTCCCTCTGATACTGAGCTTCCTCCTGATCCAGTCTCTCAGCCTCAGCCTGGACCTTCTCGAGATTTTCTGCCACTATCTTGCGGTTCTTTTCCACATCTTCCCGCTCCTGGATCAGCCTCTCCTCCTCTAATGCCAGTTCCTTTAACTCCATCTGTAGCTGTTCACTGTCATCTACATTCATTTGCTCTAAGATCTCCAAACAGCTACTGTAGTTCTGACATTCATTTTCGGTGACGTTGAGCTGAGTGTCCATCTGGTCTAAAAGAGTATGTGTGCATTCCTCACACAATGGGTGATCCACATCTGTGAACTTTCTTTTTTCAAAATACCTCAGATTGTAAAAGCTAGAAAGAACTTTGCTCATCATCTGTCCAACCATTTTTATTTTACATATCGGAAGCACAGGTTCACCCAGAAAAGTTTTGTGCAAGACTATTAATGTAGTTTATCAGACTTAACTCCTAGTTCTCTACACATTATTTCCATCCTTCCTCCCACCACCCCCTCCCATCTCTAATCAAGTAAATCAAACAAGCTATTCTGCACTTTATGGCAATTCTACTGCCTTTTAATCTGATGTTCGTTAATTACAAGCTTTATGACAATGTTTCTCAACACGTTCCACTGACTACACCTAGTGGCAGAATTAAGAAAATGCATATCATCCAGAATGCTGAGGTCTTATCCTAAAGCTTCAGAGGAAACATTTCTTCAAAGTCTTGAGTTTGACTTTTTTAAAATTTCAGTCCTAGCCATAATAATTAGGCAAGAGAAAGAAATAAAAGGCATCCGAATTGAAAAAGAGAAAATCAGACTGTCCTGTGTGCAGATGACACAATTTTATTTTGAGAAAACCCTAAAAGGTCCACCAAAACACTCAGAACTGAAAAACAAATTCAGTAAAGTTGCAGGATACAAAATCGATGTACAAAAATTCTATAGACCAATAAATGAAATAGTTGAAAAAGAAATCAAGAAAGCAATCCTATTTACAACAGTTACAGAAAAAAAATTCAATATCTAGTAATAAATTTAATGAAGGAGGTGAAAGATGTCTACAGTGAAAACTATAAAACATTGATGAAGGAGACTGAAGAGGACAAGGAAATGGAAAGACATTCCATGTCCATGGCTTGGAGGAATTAATATTGTGAAAAATGACAATACTACCAAAAGCAAACTACAGATTCAATGCAATCCCTAATAAAATACCAATGGTACTCTTCACAGAAGTAAAAAGAAAAAATCCTAAAATAATATGTAATCACAAAAGCCCCTGAATAGCTTAAGCAATCCTGAGCAAAGGAGCAAGGATGGAGGCATCACACCACCTGACTTCAAAATATACTACAAAGCTATACTAACCAAAACAGCATGGTACTGGCATAAAAACAGACACATAGACTAATGGAACAGAATAGAGAACCCAGAAATAAAGCCTCATATTTACAGTCAACTGATCCTCCAAAAAGGCACCAAGAATGTTCACTGGGGAAAGAATAGTCTCTTCAATAAACAGTGCTGGGAAAACTGGATATCTAAATGCAGAATAGTGAATCTACACCCCTATATTTCACCATATACAGAAATCAACTCAAAATAAATTAAAGACTCAAATGCAAGACTGGAAAGTATGAAACAACTAAAACAAAACATAAGAGAATTGCTTCAGGACATTGATCTGGGCAATGGCTTTGTGGATAAGAGCACAGGCAACAAAAGCAAAAATGGGCAAATGGGATTATGCACAACAAAGGAAACAATCCGCTGAGTGAAGAAATACCTTAAAGAATGGGAGAAAGTGTTTGCAAACTATGCATCTGACACGTAGTTAATATTGAGGATATACAAAGAATTCAAACAACTCTGCAGCAAATAACGAATAACCTAATTAAAAAATGGGCAAAAAACCTAAACAGACATTTCTGAAAAGAAGACATACAACAAAAGAAAAAAAGGAAAGAAAAGAAGCAAGGAACAAGAAAAAAATGAAGACATACAAATGTCCAACAAACATATGAAAAAATGTATGGGATTATGCACAACAAAGGAAACAATCCGCTGAGTGAAGAAATACCTTACAGAATGGGAGAAAGTGTTTGCAAACTATGTATCTGACAAGTAGTTAATATTGAGGATATACAAAGAATTCAAACAACTCAACAGCAAAAACACGAATAACCTGATTAAAAAATGGGCAAAAGGCCTAAACAGACATTTCTGAAAAGAAGACATACAACAAAAGAAAAAAAGGAAAGAAAAGAAGCAAGAAATGAGAAAAAAAAAGAAGAAATGCAAAAGTCCAACAGGCATATGAAAAAATGCTCAACATCACTGCTCATCAGAGAAATGAAAATTAAAACCACAATGAGATATCATCTCACACCAGTTGGAATGGCTATTAGCAAAAAGACAAAAAAGTAACAAAAATTGGCAAGGATAAAGATAAAAGGGAAACCTTACATTGTTGGTGGAAATGTAAATTAGTTCAGCCATTATGGAAAACAGTATGGAGGTTCCTCAAAAAACTAAGAATAGAACTACCTTATAACCTAGCAATTCCACTACAGTGTATATACCCAAAGGGAATGATATCTATGCATTGAAGAGACACCAGCACTCCCATGTTTTTTGCGGCACTATTCACAATATCCAAGAGATGGAGTCAACCTAAATGCCTCTCAATGTATGAATGGATCCAAAAAAAACTGTGTTATATATACACAATGGGATACTATTCAGCTAATTTTTTAAAAATGAAATCCTGTCATTTGCAGTGCAGGTAGTCTCCATAGTAGCCATCCCAGCCACCGTGCAAATGGCATGCCAGACTGTCAACTGCATTGACACAATGAGAGGCACCAGCAGAGACAAAAAAGAAAGAAGAGGTCCTCTCTTTCCACAAAGAACACTCCAGAGTAATAGAAGAAGCATCTGCTTTGTGATAATAGGGTAGGATAGGATCACACCTGTCTCAGTACTGGACAGATCATCTAGGCAATCAACCACCAGAGGAACAGTGAATCTATCAGATGGAGAGAACAAATCTATAGTTATTAGAAGTGAAGGAGAGAGGGAAGGAGGAGGGGAAGGAGGGAGGGGGAGGGATGAGGGAGGAGATAGATTGGATAAGGGGCAGAAAGAATAAGCATGATTTGTAACAATGAATATGCTAATAAAAATATATTTTTTTAATATTAAATTCTATTATTTGTGGTGCAGCAACATGGATGAAACTGAAAACCATCAGGTTAAGTGAAGTAAGCCAGGCACAGAAAGACAAATGCCACATGATCTCACTCCTATGTGGAATCTAAAAAAGAAAAAGAGAAGTGGTTTTCATGTAAGTAAAGAGTGGAATAATGGCTACCAGAAGCCTGGACAGGAAGGGAAGTATGGGGTGGTGGAGGGGAAGAGGTAGATTAAGAGGTATAAAAATTATAGGTAGATAGGAAAAATAAGTT